TACCAGTGCAGCAGTTAGATGGCGGCAGGAGCTTAAATGGCAGGGGGCTGGCTAGACAACACTCACTCTTCCAGTTGTCTTAGAGTTAGCTTGATTACCACAGCCACACAGTGGCTTCAGGGCAGTTGGACTACTTATATGGTAGTCGAAGGCTTCAGGATGAGAATGAGAGTGATCTTTTATGACCTAGCCTCAGATATCACTTCTGGTGTGTCTTTTTGTTGGAAAAAAAATCACAAAAGTCTACCTAAGAGCAAGGGGAGGGAACATAGACCCCCACCTCTCAATGGGAAGAATATCCAAGTCATATAATAAGAGCATGTGGATGGGAGAGATTGTTGAAGTCATCTTTGGAAAATACAATCTGCCACGCCCTATCGTTCACGTCCCACTCAATGCAAAATACATTTATCCCATCCTCCAAGAAGCCCCAAGTCTCATTCCATGACAGCACCAGCTCGAAGTCCAAGAACCCCTCATCTAAATTGGGTCCCCATGTGGACATAGCTCCTCACATCCAGTTCCTTGGGCATAGCTCCTTGAATATCAATCCTCCTGACCTGAAGCCCTCGCGAAGTAAAGAAACACATCATGTGTCTCATACATGGGCAGCAAACACTAGAGGCACAGGCATGGGACAATTGCTATGGCATTATCATTTCAAAAAGGAGAAAAACAGAGGCACACACAGCAGTTACTAGTTCATAGCAATTCTCAAATCCAGCTGGGCACATGTGGCCAGTTCCTGATTTAGGGCTTGGACCCATTCCCATTTACTTATGTTAGCATTGACATGGATTCCCACCCGCCCCCCGCCCCCCGTGGGTGATAATCTTTTCCTATGATTATTTGTTTTGATACACCATTTGTCACAGATTTGGCCGGGGAAGAAATTCCAAGTTGGCTCTTGTGCCCTTTGGAGTTGTTTTCATCATTCTTTGAACATTTCCTTGCTTTCTGACACAAGATGTTCCAGGATCATCTTGTGACTTTCCTGCACCCCCACCCTGCCGGCCCTAGAATTGGCCATTAACCAGGGAATCATGGGTCCTCCTGACTTTTTGATGTTCCTTTTTCCATTCTCTCTTGCTCCCTAAATCTGCCCTTAGACACTGCTATTTCCCTGGGTTCCCATCTCATTTTTCTCTCTCCTTCCTCAGTACATACTCCCTGGGTGCCTCCATCTATTCCTGTGACTTCTGGATCTGGATCTCCGGCCCAATAAACTCTCCCAAATATCAGACCTGTTTATGTAAGTGTCTTCTAGATATATTCCAACCCATGAGCACCTCAAGCTCAGTGAGCTTAAGTTAAACTTATTTACCCTCCCTTCCCCCCACAAACCCACCCTTCCTATATTCCCTATTATTGCCAGTGGCATCACTAGGAAAAACCTGAGGATGATCTTAGCCCACATCGCCTCCCAGCTCCCTATACCAGAACGGTTTTCCCATACTATCGATTGCACTTGTAAATATCTTTCAGATATGATCCTTCTTTATCCCCATCACCTTTACCCTCTCTTACCTGGGTTGTTGCTGAGCTTCCCACCTGGTCTCTCTGCCTTCAACCTCTCCCATCTCTGACCCATCCTCAACAGCCACTCCTAGAAAGCTCTTTCCAGAAGATAACTCTTATCACATAACTTTTCTGCTTAAATCCCTATGGCTGTCCTTTTCAAACCAGCTGGAGCAACCTCTGGCCATGGGGGATTCATGTAAGGAGACAGAGAGGGAGCAGCTATAGAAGAGTTACATCTTCCTCAAGTTTAATTTTTATTTGCGGATTCAGTAGAACACTTAAAAATATTAAGACAAATGCATGTGATGAAATAGAATGCAAAGATCATATGATTTTAAAGGCATATGATTTTAGAGGGTTTGAACTCAGGACACCTCAATGCCTGTACACTGTCCACTGCCTTTTGGGGGGACTTTAGTGGAAACTTTAAGAACCACTGGCTAGGATAAAAGGATAAAGTTCAGGTTCCTTCAGATGGTGGACAAACTGTATTATAATCTGGTCCTTACCAGACATTTCCAGTTCACCTGCCTCGCCTTTTATGTCCCTCAGCCTCATCACCTTTTGCCACATATATCAGCCACAAAGAGGAGGCACTTGCAGTCTGCTTTGTGGCCAAGTCTGTGGTCTGTGTGGTCTGAGGTTCACCCTGCTTGGAGTCCCTCCTTTTCTTTCTTTCTTTCTTTCTTTCTTTCTTTCTTTCTTTCTTTCTTTCTTTCTTTCTTTCTTGAGTTTATTCATTTTTTGGGGGAAGAGCATAAATGGGGGAGCAGAGAGAGAGAGAGGGAGAAAGAGAGAATCCCGAGTAGGCTCTGCACTGCCAGCACAGAGCCCCACACGGGGCTGAACCCACAAACCAAACCATGAGATCACGACCTGAGCCAAAGTCAGATGCTCCACAGACTGAGCCACCCAGCTGCATGCTCCACTCCTTTCTTTTTATTGGGCAAACTCCTACTCATTCTTCAAGACCAGCTTTAGTGTCATCTCCTCTGGGACACTGTCATGACATGTGGGACAGAGAGCTGACACGCTCTCCTTGGTACCAGGCATATTCTTTATCAAGGTCCAAGGTCCTCACACTCATAGACCACATCTTTTTTACCTTTGTATTCTTAGCACCTCACATAAAACTAAAAATAGCCAAGCAAGCTAAAAACCACCTGACCTTTCTATACTTTGGGAAGGTTAGTGTTACCAGTGGTGTTCATTATTCATTTGAAACTAGCTTAAAGTGGAACAGACACTCGATTAGGGCTGATTCCCACATAAAGAAACCCTTGACGTGGTTTTAAGATGTACAGGGGACCTGTGTGCATAATATATAATTTTGCTGAGGGATGAATTCTGGTCACATGACATGAAGCAGATGAGTCCTTATCTAGAGAGTGACCCTAACTTCCCTCTACCCTGCTGGAACTGTAGAGGCATTGGGTTCAGTACTTCCTGGCTATGTGACCTTGGGCCTTGGTTTTTCTCATCTATTGTGATGGTTACATGTGATAATGTATGAAAAATGCCTCACAGTGCCTCACACACAGTAAATATCTAGTGAATGGTAATTTTGAGTAATAACCAAACTTTCACTAGGGTCAGGAGTTCACTTGAATTCCCACCTCGGTTATATCCGATATATTACATCGAAGCCAATATGCAAATTTAAAATTAGCAAAGGTCGTAAGACAAGCCTCCTGTGAACAGTAATGACGTACTGTGTCCAGAATAAACAGCAACTCTAGACCAGTGGCTTAGGTTGCAAGGTGTTACCCTGCTTTTTGAAGAAAATGCCCATTGTGACAATCATGTGGGTAATAAAGGCTGAGATTCATTGGATTAATTTCCTATAACCTCTCTGATCACCTCGTGAGGTTGGTATCATTTCCATTTTTCACAATAAACAACTGAGGCCCAGACAGGTTAACTAACTTGCTTAAGATCACACAGCTTATGAACATCAGAAGCATGACTAGAACTAAAGCCAGTGCCAAAATGCAAACTTCTTCCATTATTCCTTTGATTCCTGCACTTTCTGTACTATAATCATCTGTCAGTATGTCTTCCCCGAACGAATCTGTAAATGCAGGAGCCATACTTGCCTAATTTTTGTAGTTATCTAACACATGCCTAGCATATATTCCATAAGCATGCATTAAATGCAAGGCAGAAAATGTTAAGTAAACTTAAACTAGAGTTACCAGATAAATACAAGATTCCTAGTTAAATTTGAATTTCAGATAAACAATTTATTATTTTTTTTAATGTTTATTTTTAAGAGAGAGAGACAGAGCATGAGCAGGAAAAGGGCAGAGAGAGAGGGAGACACAGAATCTGAAGGAGCAGTCTCCAGGCTCTGAGCTGTCAGCACAGAGCCAACACAGGGCTCAAACTCATGAACCATGAGATCGTGACCTGAGCCGAAGTCAGACACTTAACAGACTAAGCCACCCAGGTGCCCCTAAATAATTTTTTAATGTAAGTTTGCCACAGACACTACTTGAGATACATCTACACACACAAAAACCCTAAAATTTGTTACTTGAAATTCAAATTTAATTGAGCACTCTATTTTTATTTGCAAAATCTGGTGACCTTAAACTACCCCCTGAGATTGGCCTTGAAAGGGACAAATTCCCTAGGGGTTCTCCTGGAGGGAGAAGGGCTATTATGGCCCCTCACTCACACTCAAGACTGACCCCATCCCCAGCTGCTCTGGGGACTGGGACTGAGGCCATAGTAACCTGGATGTGTCTGCTTTTCCAGAGCCTTACCTGTTCACCTGGGTTAGGTCAGCCTGGCACCTTTAAACGGAAAAAGCAGCCTCTGATAAGCTTAAAGCGCCACCTGGAGGCCCTTATGGGTAGTACTATGTCCAGAGGCCATCCCAAGGACCCAGGATTTTAGGGAGCAGGGAAAGGCCAAACAAGGCACAGACAGGGAAGGAAAGGAGGCCTGTCCAGCAGTGGAGAGCGGGCAGGTGAAGATATACCTTTTAGGCATTTTCAGTTTACAGCTGCTGCTCTGGCTGCCGAGGAACTGAAGGCACTTGCTTCCGGACGAGGTCATTGCTTAGGGATTTCCTTTCCCATGACCCTCGTCTGCCTTTTTAACTGTTCCTTGCTTGTCCTCCAGCTGGAAGTCACTGGCTTATGAGAAGCATCATAACCTCCATCCTGGAGGCTTGATGCTACATTTTAACATAAGGGTGAGGGGCACGGAAACAGTGGACCGACAGCTGAAGGAGCGGGAGCTGTTTGCTCAACTGTGGTTCTTAATGTTTGGTTCTCGGCACACCTGAAAACGTGTCCGAAGTGCAAATTCTCAGGCCCCACACCAGGCCTAGGGGAGTCAGAAACTCTGGGGGTGAGGCCCGGCGAGCCGTGTTTAAATAAATCCTCCAGGTGATTCTGACGCATGCTGACGTCAGAGGGAACATGGGTAGGGTGGGCAGGGAGAAGGCCGCAAAAATGTGCAAAGACTGGAAGAGCCGTGATGTGAATGAGATGGCTGTTTGTTCTATGCGGCTCTAGAGGAAGAGATGGGCTCAAGGGGCCGAGAGCCAGAATTCGGTTTTAATCAAGGAGGTACTATTGAACAAATAGAACTTCGGGGCAGTGTGATGTATGCCTGCGGAAGGCACGTCTCTATCACTGGACTAAATGTCCTGTGTCCTGGGCCAGGTGACCAGCCAGGGATGTGGTAGAGGTTAAATTAGATGTAGGGAATCTCCAAACTGAGAGAATCCATGATGGATTCTTCTTGCAAATCCTCTTTTCTTTTATCAAGAGTGAGAGCAATACTTTCTAGTTTTCTGCCATTACTGAGAACCGGGTTCAGCTAAATGTTTATAACACATAGTTAGTTACTAAAGAGCAAATGGTGGAGCAAATGGCTTTTCTAGTTTCCTGCTCAGGGTTTTCTCAGGACTGGTCCATTCCGGACTAGTTCTCTAGGCGGCTGCACAGCTGCCTTCCAGAAGTTTCTTTCACTCTACAACCATTCCTTACCCTTTTTTTTTTTTTAAATTTTTTAAATGTTTTATTTATTTCTAGGAGAGAGAGAGAGAGACAGCGTGAGCAGGGGAGGGTCAGAGAGAGGGAGTCACAGACTGAAACAGGCTTCAGGCTCTGAGCTGGCAGTCAGCACAGAGCCCGACGCGGGGCTCGAACCCACAAACCGCGAGATCATGACCTAAGCGAAAGTCGGACGCTTAACCAACTAAGCCACCCAGGTGCCCCCATTCCTTACCATCTTACCTATGTGGAATCTCCCATTTCCTTCATCCCATATTTTTCTATTTTTAATTATTAGTTTAATATGTTGGGGCACACCACCAAGTAGATTCCCAAGAAAGATTACAAGGAAAGTCAATCTTTTCAATCTTGAATGTCTGAAAATCACTTTTTAAAAATGTTTATTTATTGTGAAAGAGAGAGACAGAGCATGAGCAGGGGAGGGGCAGAGAGAGAGAGAGAGAGGGAGACACAGAATTTGAGTCAGGCTCCAGGCTCCAAGCTGTCAGCACAGAGCCTGATGCGGAGCCTGAACTCACAAACAGTGAGATCATGACCTGAGCTGATGTCAGACGCTTAACTGCCTGTACCACTCAGGAGCCCCCTGAAAATGACTTTGTATTGACATTTGGCTGACAGATTATTTGGGTATAGAATTCTAGGATGGAAATTATTTTCCCACAACATTTAAAAAACATGCTCTGTGATTTTCCATCTTTTAATAGTTTTGTTGATAAAGTCAGGTGACATTCAGTTTCCAATTCTTTATATGCAGCTAGTGCTTTCTTCTCTTGCTCGCTCTTGAAGCGTTATTTTCATTGTTTAGAAAGTTCATGATGTCTCTTCAACCTGGAAACTCATATCTTTTAGAAAATCTGGAAAGTTCCTTCTATTATTTCTTTGGTAAACTCCCTTTCTTTGTTTTTTTTTTTGTACTCCTATTTTGGAAACTGCTGTTAGACAGACTGATCATCTAATTTTCTTGGCTTTGTCGCCATTTTTTTTTTTTTTTAGTAAGTCTGTATGTTCTGAATGTTTTGACTCTTGCTTTGTGGTGTAGTAAGTGGTCAATTTTTATAATAAATGCTCCCCCTTTTTAAGTTTCTTTCTTTTGACAGAGAGGGCATGTGCGAGTGGAGGAGGGACAGAGAGAGGGAGAGAAAGAATGCCAAGCAGGCTCTGCACTGTCAGCAAAGGGCCCGACATGGGGCTTGAACTCATGAACCTGTAAGATCATGACCTGAGCCAAAATCAAGAGTCAGACGCTTAACTGACTGAGCCACTCAGATGCCCCCTAAATTCTTTTTTTTTTTTATTGTGGTAAAAAACATATCATAAAATTTACTGTCTTAACGATTTTTTTTTTTTGAGAGAGAGAGAGACAGACAGAGAGAGCATGAGGGGCATAGAGAGAGAGGGGACAGAGGATATGAAGTGGGCTTTGCACTGACAGCAGTGAGCCTGATGTGGGGCTTGAACTCATGAACTGCGAGATAATGACCTGCGCCAAAGTCTGATGCTCAAAAGACTGAGCCACCTAGGTGCCCTCCCCCCCTCATCTTAAATATTTTTAAGTGTACGGTTCAGTAATATTAAGTATGCTTATATTATTGTTAAATAGATCTCTAGAACTTTTTCATCTTGCTGAACTGAAACTCTATTCCCATTACAAGATTCCGCTTTTACCCATTCTTCAGTCCCTGGTGCCTACCATTCTATCATGTATATGAGTTTGACTATTTAGATATGTCATTTAAGTGGGACCACACATTGTCATTTTGTGACTGGCTTATTTCACTTGGCCTAATGTTCTCAAGGCTCAACCAAGTTGTAGCATGTGACAAGGGTTCCTTCATTTTTAAAGCTGCCTCGTATTCCATTGCATGCACATATCACATTTTATTAGTCCCCTCATCTGTCGGTGGGCGTTTGGGTTGCTTCTACCTTTTGGTGATTGTGAATAATGCTGGGATCTAGCTGAGCATGTAAATATTTCTTCAAGGTCTTTCTTTTCTATCTTATAGACATATACACAGAAGTGGGATTGTTGGATCACATGCCCTAATCCATTTTTGAACACTTCCTTACTTCCTGGCATTACACATATTTCATCATGTTCATCACAGGAGCGGAATTGCTGGCTCATTTGAGAACTCTATGTTTAACTCTTTGAGGAGCTGCCAGCCTATTTTCCAAAGCGGCTGCATCATTTTACATTCCCACCGGGAATGCTGGGTGTGAAGTGAAAGCTCATTGTGGTTTTGATTTGCATCTTCCTAACACCTAATGTGCAACTAACATGCGGGACGGGACACTGCGATGCACTTGACCATAAACCTGTTACTCTCAAAGTAAAGCATTTTAATTGAGGAAAAAGGCGCATTCTTAATATTTTACTGGGCAAACATCATGACCCTTTTTAGATGTATATTTTGTCACTCCTTCAAATGGTCTTTTCTGATCTTGATTGTAACCATGATACCTACCATCCCTTCTCCAGCTGAGTATCACAAATATCTTTCCCTTTCCTGGGTTTTAAGAAGCCTCCTTCCTTTAGTGGGCATCAGGCAATTCCTGGAGAGGATCTTAGTTTATACCCATGGATCAAAGAAAGCCTATACTTTTGATTGTTTAGGCTTCGAGATATGACAGTCTTCAATTTAAGGTGCCGCTCAGTGAGTACTTACCTTCCTTCCTCCCTGCATGCAGAGTCCCAGTAAATGACGAAACCTAATAATAATCAGCTCTGTATGTGGTCTCTTATTTCCTGCAACATTTTACCATAACTACGACAGGATCTGGCACAACCTGGACCCTGACAGTGGTGGCAGGGGGTGTCAGATGAGGCCTGCGTGTAACTATGGTAAGACCTGTTGATGTCTTAACTCTGTAGGCATTTTTCTTACATCCCCTCTGCTGCCTGGGGATGCAATGGTTAGGCTCCACTCCTGGGGTGTTTTTAGTTAAAAAGCTTTGCCATATAAGATAGGCATCCTAAATGAAGCTACTTCTCCTCCCCTATTAAATGTTTCCCACATGATTTGTAAAAATATGATTGAATGCCCTGTTTTTGCCCTTAAGCTAGACGAGACCTTCTTTCTTTTTTTCAATTTTTTAAATGTTTTCTTTCTTTCTTTCTTTCTAATATTTTTTATTTATTTCTAGGAAAGAGAGAGAGAGAGAGAGACAGCGTGAGCAGGGGAGGGTCAGAGAGAGAGGGAGACACAGACTCAGAAAAAGGCTCCAGGCTCTGAGCTGGCAGTCAGCACAGAGCCCGACGCGGGGCTCGAACCCACAAACAACGAGATCATGACCTAAGCGAAAGTCGGACGCTTAACCGACTAAGCCACCCAGGCGCCCCAATGTTTTATTTATTTCTGAGAGGAGACAGCATGAGCAGCGGAGGGTCAGAGAGAGAGGGAGACACAGAATCTGAAACAGGCTCCAGGCTCTGAGCTAGCTGTCAGCACGAAGTCTGACGCGGGGCTCGAACCCACAAACCATGAGGTCATGACCTGAGCCAAAGTCGAACGCTTAACCGACTGAGGCACCCAGGTGCCCCTAGACCAGGGTTTCTTAAGTGTGGTGCTGTTGACACCTTGGGTGGGACAAGTCCTTATTGTGAGAGGCTGTTTTGGGCACTGTACGATGTTCAGCAACATCCTTGACCTCTACTCACTGGCTTCTCTCACGCTCCCAGTTTTGACAACCCAAAAACTGTGTCCAGACATTGCCAAATGTCTCCTGGGGGACAAAATGGCCCCTGTTTGAGAACCACTGAGCTAGATGGACTTAATGGCTTACTTCAGCTCAAAGAGCTTGGAAGGGAGCCCCATCCCAGCTCACATCGTGCTAAACCATTATAAACCCCAACCTCTCCAATTTGTTAAAAAGATGGAAATGGTACAGCAGAGATCTCCAAAATGACAATTTCATCTTGATAGCCCCTATAGCCACGATGCCAGATGAAGGTGTGACAGCTATGAAAAGGTGAGTTAACAAAAGAAGGCAAAACCTTTTCATAGGTTTCCACCCAGATACCTGGGAGAAATTTCAAAACTGTATTATGGACATCAAGTAAAAACTATAAAGTGCCCCCAAGGCACACATTTAAACCCTCACAACTTAGAAAAGAGACAGGCCCTGACGGTCCACCAGCCCACAGTGGGAAAATTTAGCTATAAAAGCCTGGCTGTTGGAAAAGTGAGTGAATAACGCTCAGCAAACCCCACATGGGGTGCTTTGTCCTAAAACACCCTTGATGGGGCTTCCAGATCTCTCTTCGGCAGGTGTCAGGAAATCTGTTGTACGACCAAGCCAGGAACAGGCCCTTGAGGTCCTGCCACCGATGGGGCTCAAAATGTCAGGCATCCTCCCCAGAGACATTGTTCCCCAGGGACTTCTGCTCCCACAGCGGTGAAAGGATCAAAGATTAACTGGGGGAGAAGGTCTAGTTTACTGACTAGGGCTGCTCCAGTGTCTTCAGGAATTGATGGAAAGGGAACAGCTCCCCTCAAGGTTAATGGGGTGGCAAAGTTTCCAAGGATAGTTTAAAACTATTGCTAATAACGGGAGGCACTGAGTCGCCGATGAAATTTAAAGATGCATCACTGTAAGCAATTGCTTTTTATTTTTGAGGTGATCTTGAATTTACAGGTGAAGGATCT